AGAAAATTGCCTTTTCCACTTTTTTCAGGTTGACTTTTTAATTTGTCTCTAGCCTCCTTTCTGCCTCTCTGTCTCTCCCTTTCTCATTTTCCTCCAGTCCCTGCATCGTGCTGACCAGGCACTCTGCTCTCATCCACATGTGATACCAACAGAGCAATATTGATTAGAGCCATTGATTATGGTGGATGTTGACTAGAATCCCAATGCAGCATCACTCCTAAACTGCGCAAACAGGAGGAGAAAGAGAGCCAGGCTGGAGGACATAAGAACCAAATTGCAGTGTTCACAGGTAACTGCACAAGCTTAAAGAATACATCTGTGCCTAAAACCCTCACCATTTGGAAATTAGGTCATTTCTTCATGTTAAACTCTGTGCCAGCTCAGATCAATATAAACACAATTCATGACAGATTGATAAGTTAACTCAGGTGTCTCCTTTAAAAAGCTCACAGGGCAGTGACATTTAAAGCTAGGTTTCCTGGGACATTCCTTTAAAGGATTTTATGTGCTCTTCCAGGTTAATACTGATTGTAACACCAAGATTATTTGATTTTTGAGCCTGATCAGATCCAGGAGGGAAATTACTTTTTCACAGTCACTTTTAGGTGGAACTGTGGAAAGTGCAAGAACCTCCAAAGTTTTCAGTTCTCCTCCTTTCGTCAGCTCTTCCTTTTCATGCATCAGGGTTTGATGTCATTAGCCCTTCTCTTATACCACAGCAAATACTTTCATGATCAGATTGCCGATTTATGTGTACTGTTTTTCAATTGCTTTTTTTCCTCCCTCCTGGTTTTGGCTAGACCAGAATATTTGGGTTTCCATCTCTTCTGGGAGCCTAAGTGATTTTGTAAAGGATGCATTTGTCCACCTGGTCACAGGTGCTAGGGAACAGTAAAAAATCTCTCAGAATTGTGAGAGTCTTCAAAGACTTGCTACTAGAAACTGCTGAGCAGTAGCATCACTACATCTTTTCAGGGGACACCTCTACAAGTCCTGTAACAAGGGCTGCGCAGGCTGCAGGGTTTTCATGACCAAACAACAAAGCTGGCCCAGGACTTTGAGAGTGAAGCTAACGCAGAGCTGTTCTCTGCCAGCGCAGCCCAGTTCAGTCCTTTATGATAAGGGATACATTCATTCCTTATCTTGGGAGAATAATTATTAATGAAGTTGCCCTTTGTACTATGAACTACCTTCACTTTTTGGTGTTTTTTCCAGGATATCCTGGATAATGCTAACACGAAATCCCATTATGAGCTGTCTTGTCACTGTAAGACATTATGGAAGGGGTCAGATACATGACTGAGTTGCAATAGCATGATGAACTGCCCTTCAGCTGAGCTAGTGTAATAAGCTGTGTTGGCTCTTAGCCCACTGCAAATGTGAGGTAATTTAAACCTCTTTTATTTAGGTTCAAGAGAATGTCTTTTACCTCACTTTGCCAACAGCTAAAAGCAAGCACAGTTAGTTACTGCAGTTCAGCTGATACGCAGCAACTTGACTGTGTGTTTGAACTCATGAGAGAAGTCAATAAACAGTTCAACTGACATTTATTATGCACAAGAAAGACAAGTTTGCTTACCTGTGCATAGTAAAGAGTAGTATTTTATGCTGGTCCAGAGGATAGTGGCTTCTTTCAAGACTCTATACTGCACAGAGGGAACAAATCCTACTGCCCACATCCATTTAGCTGCAGTGATACAGAGTCGAGACACTTAATTCTTTGCCACTCTCTGGCTTACTGCAAGGAAATGGAAGAGGTGCAGTTTGTGGAGAGTTTGTTCTGCTCTCCATGCAGTAGGGATGGAAAAGCACACCATAAGAAGGTATTATTTGCCCTAGACTTGTACACAAAATAAAATATTCATTGATTTAAAAAAAATTTTTTTTTTTAAAACACAAACCACTGTCATATATTATCTCCAATTTTATATATTAAATCAGCAAATGAGAACTAGGTCATTACAGAGACCAATGATTCAATATAAGATAACTCTGGTTCATCTTTTGCTATTTTCCTGCTTCTGACTCCCTTCTCTTTTACATTTTGCTTCACTTACATACACATGAGGAAAACAACTTCTTGGTGATTCCACAGAGGGCCAATTTTCTAATTAACAGAAGGTTCCAAATTAGTTATAATGAAATTACTATAATTTACTAGAAATTATTATACACAGCACGTCACTGAAAATGTACTCTCTTGACCCTCCCAGAATATTGCTCTCATTCTCCACTGTTAAGGATTAGGAGAACAAGCAGGAGGAAAAAAAAAAAATCACAAAAATCAATAGTAGAGAGACTTAGAAAATACCAGTCAAGTTCTGCGTTAAAAGATACTGTCTTGCCTAATGCTTTCCCTCTAGCTTCTTCACTTTTCAATTAAAATCCTAGCGGCCTTTACCACCCAACTTCATAGAAGATGCAGCACAGAAACGAAATAGAATCACAGAAAGAAAACCAAGCCTCCTTTGTCTGAACAGCGTGATTCAGAAATGGTCCAAGGCCATGTTCAACTTCAGCTACTGTACCCCAGCCATGCTGTGAAGCATCCTGCGACTATTTCAGATGTCCATTTCACAAAGAAAGTCATGAATTGCAAATAAACTTGTACTTAAAGATTAAACCTCCCGTTCACCAGAAGTCAGAGTTCTG